AATCCTTAAGTATCTTATAACAATTTCATAAGTTTTTCATTGAAAATATCATGTTGACATATTTAAGGTTTAAGGAAATAGCATGAAATGAAAGGAAACTAAGTTAGGAGAGGAATTAGTATGAAACAGTTGGGAGGAAAGTGAGCATCCTTCACTAATTTAAACATATCTTTTTGTATACTTAGACTTTGGATGTGATACCACCACTATTGGAAACTAGACTTCCAGGGCTTGAATTTGGGCATAAGAATCGCTTAAAACGGAGTTCGGATGAGGGAGATACGCCTATTTGATGTTGGGCTGAAACAGGGGGATTCTGCACGCGCGGGACCAAAATTGCACATGCGAGACCGGAATTGCACATGCCTTTATTTCAGTATTGAGTTTGGTTTTGAGTTAGGTCACTACACGTGTGGGGATGAGTTTTGCACGTGTGGTGCTTCCTGTCACACGTGGAGAGAAGAACATAGTCACAGTTGCTGCTATTCTAGGTGGTTTTCAGCTTGCAAAAACTCATTTTTCACATCCTTAAAACTCAAATCTTGTTCTATGACATCCTAATATGTATACGTATGGAAAACTAATAAAAACTCATGAATATGCACTGATTTGAAGATTAAACATGCAAAAGATGGATTACGTTCAAGTTTTAAATCTTTTTGAACTTTCTTTGTTCTATCATTTCTAATCCTTCAAAATCGTGGTCTAAAGCTTCCTATTCATGAATAAGTGATGCTAGTTCATAGTACAACAATTGTTTTGGTCAAGTCTTGTGTAAAATTAATTCAAAACATGATTTTTCTAAGAATTTTTCAAACACTTTTCAAGTTTCTAAACTTTTCTATTTTCTTCCCATTTCAATCCTCAAAAACTTGTTCCTAACCAATTTTTAGCTAAGTTTTGACATGGGATTATAGAAGAGGGTCAAGTTTCTTACCTTGTAGTGATTTTCTTAGGATTTTTAGGGTTGAATCTCTAGCTCCTCTAAATTTTTCTTTCTTTTTCTCTCTTTTTTCGTTTTCTTCTCCTTTCCTTCTTCTTTTTCGTTGATTCCACCTTTCTCTAGATTTTTTTCCTTTGTTGGATATAAGCATAAACTTTTATTCGGTAAAGTGGGGCAAAGGTTGCAAACTTCATTCATTGGTTAATTCTCTTCCTTTGGCTTAATTAACGAAGCTTAGTTCTAACTAATTATGTTTAGTCCTAAATTTCTATGTTAGTTTAATTAACCAATCTTAGTTATAATTAATCATGGTTACATTCTAAATAATCAAGGTTTAACTTAATCTTGCTTAACTTAATTAATCTCAATTAAGGTTCACTAATCTTGCTTAATTAATACTAATCCCGATTAGCAAAATGACATGTGGTATTAAAATGATGAGTAAATTAGTCTAAGATCTTTAAGCTTCTCAGTTAGTGTATAGGCATATCCTAGTGTTCACAAATTTAAGCTTAAGGTATTCGCCTATCTCTTAATAATCTTTAACTATTTATACCTTATGTTTCTAGTGGGGCGCACTTTCATTTCTAAATTTTTATAGACATCTTCTAAGGTTTCCATGTTATAATTTCATATTTTAATCTAGGGTATTCAATTATGGACAGTGATATAGTTATAAGATGTAGTGTTTTTAGGGTGTCACACCTAGAGCCTTGGAACACACTAGTTCTTGCACAAACTTTGATCAATTCAAGCCAATCCTTCAATCCCTACACTTCCTCTATCTCTAGATGAGAGTTCTCTCTCTCTCTCTCTACAATGTTATCTCAGATTTTTGCTCAAGAATGAAGAGAAAGATGAGCTCAAATGAGCTTATGGCTCATATATTTAGCTAGAGTGGCTTATTACAATAATTAGAACAATAGACCAATTAAACACAACTTAATTAATTAATCTGAATCAATTTTTTATCAAACTTACCATAAGGTTCTAAAAATTCCAATTAGTCTAATCATGTACTTGATTTTGGTTTATGGCGCTATTGAGGCCTTCAATTTTAGATTCAGAGTGAAAACCACAACAAATTTTCCTATGATCAATAGATAGTTTCCAAATTGAACAGATATACTCAAATAAATCACATAGCACATATCACAATTAATAAATAACACGTAATTAAATAATTATAATCATGATATGCATGTTGGGGTTATTACAAACAAACTTAATTCAAGGCTCTAGGTATGGAATTCAACCTTAAATCATGAAGATAACTTACCTAGCTTATGAATTCAAGAAGAATATGAGATTAATCACATGAAAATAGCTTAAAGAGGATGAATTTGAAGCTAGACTTACATGCATGCGTCCATATGTAAAGTTTCATCATTTTGGACACGATTTTGTTTCAATATTGAATTTGGAAGTTAAATAGTACATGCATCATTGATTTCCAAGGTTTTGAAGGTTGAATTTTATGTATTTAAAAGTTAAAGATCATGTCTTTGAAAAGCAAGAAGAAAAGAGGTTGAAATTCATACATGCATGAAGATTTGAGTTTCAATTTTGAATAATTTATGACATTTTGAACTAAGAGCGTGTCATGCAAGAGTTTAGATTTTGAAAATGAGTTTGGAGCCTTTTTCTTCAAGTTGTAGAACCCAGAATTTGACCCCATCGCTCGAGCGATGAAGTTACTGCTCAAGCGCACATTGTGAGCATCCAGTAGTTTTGTAGAGTTTTGCAAACTGTTCGAGGGACCAAGATCCCGCTCGAGCGATCCTAGTTTTTGTACTTGGCTCGAGCGACCATTGAGCCTAGAATTTGACCATCTAGAACTTTTGCTAACCATATAGTTTGCTCGAGTGACCAATTGTGCGCTCAAGTGAACTGCCCTGTTTTAATTTATAATGAAAGTTGTATCCTGTCCATATTCGCATACTAATTTCTTTCCGAGCATTCTTGGGCATGAATTAAGTTTCATGAATGATTTAAAAGTTAGAATTGGACTTAAAGGAATTGATTATGAAAGGAAAATTTCAATTAAGCATTGTATTTCAATGTGCATATTTGTTTGTGTTGTGTAGGTTGATCCACGGTGATGTGACAACAATCTAATCGCTATGAGTAATATCTTATTAAAGATATTTTCGTATAATCTGTTTCTAAATGTTTCATTGTGGCAAGTTTCTAAGAACTTATGATTTTGTGAATATGAATGAGCTTTCTAACTGTCCAATTAACATGATATCTGTAAATGGAAATGATAATAAATGTGTATGACAGACCTAAGGTCGTTCTATATATCTGATAAGATAGGCCCAATGTCATTCTGCATATCTGACATAGCAATTCCGGTTTTACCTTTCTGTATTTATTTATTTTCCGGACTTGGTTCCGTGATGATGTTGGTGGTTGTATACCTTTTCTCATCCTTTAATTCCCTTGATTGGTTTTAGGATGTATTGGGCAGAGTTGTTACAGGTTAGTTAGGCTTTGGTTTCAATTCTTTTGCCCAAATTTTAGGAGGTCCGCTCGAGCGGAGATTACACTCCAGTTTTGGTTGTGCTCTGCAGAACTTCTGCAAGCATTGTTTTTCACGCTCGAGCCTGGTAGTACTTTTTTGGTGTAAGTTCTGGGAGGGGGAAATCTACGCTCGAGCGGACTGGTTTTCAGCGCTCGAGCGGATGTACTTTATTCTTGTGTCTTGGCGCTCGAGCGGACCTAGTTTTTTGTTCTGACGCTCGAGCGTTGTGTTCTCCGCTCGAGCGGGAATGTCGTATATCAGTTGGCAGCTGGGCTTTAAATTCACTTTTTACATTCTCTCTCTCTCTCTTACTTTCCAAAAAGATATTTCGAGAGCCTCTCTCTAGAAACTCCCTTCTCCTCTAGGGTTTCTGTTTTGCTCCCTTCCTTCGGCCTTTGTAAAAAGTTGGGTTGATCGTCGAGGCTACGTTTTGATCTGAGAATATTTAGTTTTGGGCACGTTGATTTCTTCATCTTCGTTCCTTGAGCTCCGAATTTGAGGTAGGGATTCCTACTCACTCTTATGGTCTTTGACATAGATTTTTGGTTGTTTTGATAAAGTGTTGAAGTTGGGAAATTTTGGGACTTAGGGTTAAAAATGTTAAAAGAGGATTTTGTTATTTTGATTCTAAAAATGTGTATTGTGGGTTCAAAATAATGATATCGTTGTTGTTGTTGATATTTAAACCATTGGTCGATATTGGAAAATGGGGTAGAAAACCCTAATTGGTTGTATAAATTAATTGGTATAATTAATTTGGGAAAATTGGATATATGGAATTGAGTTGGAAATAATGAAATTGGTTAGCATATGAGTTGTATCAACTCATTAACTGACAAGCATATGAGCTGTATCAGTGGAGTCCATCCCCTATCTCCTCCCAAACAACATCCGGTTTAGAGGTCCATCCCCTATCTTCCCCTAAACCTGGAGTACATCCCCTATCTCCTCCCACACACACAACGTAATATACACATAGGTCATATACAAATCAATCAATACATAACGTTAATGTATTCTATCAACCGTCATACTCTATGACATATCCAATTGATTAGTTTTAGTTTGCCTAATCATCATGCATTGTCTACAACAATCAAGTCTACCCTCCACCGGTAGCCCAAGCAATTATTTCTAAACAGATAATAAAAGCTGCAACAGATAAAATATCAATGTTTTCAAAAGTGAGCGATTAATAAATCTAACCCCACTATTCTACCATTTAATG